GTCTTCTTGCTTGCACTTCCATGATCCTTCTTAGGGTGACGACAATCAGAAGCTCGATGTCCAGTCTTGCCACAGTTATAGCATTTTCCTTTGAACTTCTTGTTGCCATTGTAGTCGCCTTATTTAGGACCATCTCCAGTAAACTTTCTCTTTTTGTTATGTGGTTTGTGAACTTGTTCAACCACATTAGCCTTGGACTCAATGGGATTTTTCCCATTCCTTTTTTTCAGCATTACGGTTATCTTTCTCAATTCTCAGTCTTATAATAAGTTCATCCATGGTCATCTCTTTGCGTTTATGTTTTGAATAATTTTTGAAATCTTTCCAAGCCGGTGGTAACTTTTCCACTAAAGCAGTGACTTGGAAAGACTCGCTAAGAGACATACCTTCTGAATGAATATCATGCAAGATTATTTGAAAATTTTGAACTTGAGAAATTACAGTTTGAGAGTCTACTATAACAAAGTCCAGAAATTTATCGACGACAAATTTCTTCGTGCCAGCATCCTTTGTCTTGTATTTCTTCTCCAAAGAATCCCACAATTCTTTTGCTGACTTCAAAGGACTGTAAACATTATACAGCATGTTGTCAAGTCCATTGAGGATGTAGTTTATGCATAGGAAATCTGAATGTTTCCAAGCATCTACAGCGACAACAACTTGCTGATCACTTTCACTCTCTTTAAGTGCTGGAGCCTCTTCATGGAGAAACCAGACCAAATTAAGAGTTGTAAGATAGAACAACATCTTCTGCTGCCATCTTTTAAACTCAGTACCGTTCAATTTTTTTGATTTTTTTCAATGATTGATTGGTACTTGAACATGGTTCTGGATAGGGACCGGTGTTGGTGTAACAATTGGAGTACCACTTCCAGTTGCAGTTTCAGTAGCAGTAGTCATAATCTCTGATTACAAAAATCAAAAAAATTAAAACACAAATTAATTTTCTAGTTACTAAAACCAGAAAATAAATTATAACACAAAATAATTTTATTTTCCTTGTTACTAAAACTAGAAAAATAAAATACCACAATAATTTTCTGTAACACAAATTAATATTCTGCAATTGTTAATGACTCCAGTATATTATTACTAGTTGTCAAAGAAAATAGACAGTATATTACTACTATCTGTCAAATAGCATAAACCACTATTTGTTTTTCTAACCAGAATATGTCTTTATGAAATTACAGAAAATTATATACAATGAAGATCCCAAAAGGATTTTGTCTTAAGATTGTTGGACAATCTTCACTGCAATTAAATTAATTAATTCTGTTTGGGTACTAAACGACAAATAGAATATAAAAGAAAAATAGGAAAGGAGAGAGAATGTTTGATTACAAAAATCAAACTAGAAATAAAATTAAATAACTGAAAACAAATTTTATTTTGTTACAAAAACAAAATTAAAATCTGATTTAATAAACAAATAAAACAGAATAATAAATTAAACAACTTACTTGTTTAATTTCTTCGAATAATAATCTGATCAAGTCCAGTGTTTGACACTGTGTCCTTAAGACAGATTCGTTCTCTCCTTGGTGTTTTCAGAATATGGACGTCTATCTCCCAGGATGAAATGATCAACAACAAATAAATGTAGCACTACAATTTATTTGTTCAACGAACACACTTAGTGTATACACTCTTTCTCACAGAAAAATAATGGAATAAATGCAGCAAAATGCAGAGATGATTTACAGCAAAAGATGGACGAAAATTAGAGTGAATTTGATCAAATGAGGGCTGGTCTATTTATAGAAGTAATGGCACCCTTTAATTTTGAATTGAGTAGGCAACATACCTGTTTGAACAGGTACTGTACCTGTTAGGTTTGAATTTGAACAGATAACCGAATTTGTTTGAATTTCAAATCTGTTTGAGTGGATTTAAATATGAACCGAACAGATTCAGTTTTGGACAGATCCGAACCTGTAAAGAATTTCTAAAGAGGTGCAAATAAAATTTTGAATTAAAAAATTTAAATTTAAATTTGGACAGAATTTATTCTATCAAAAATAAATTGAATTCAAATATTTTTGGCCCAAAAAAATTAGTATTGGGCCGGACAAGCGTGTGGTGATTTTTGGGTCTAATGGGTGTAGCCCATTTTGCCCATAACCTCTCCCTTCTACAAACTTGGGGTGCCCCTTGGGCTCTCCCCAAGTTACAACCACAAGCTATATAAACCCATTTAAAACTTCCCACCAAATCAATGTGGGACAAGCCATTTACACAAACTTTAAGGAATTTTCACCAAAACTCTATTTCCATGGAACACACTTTGGCTTCAATTTCCCATTCACTTGATAATGGTTTTGAGCAACCAAATATACCACGTGAATCACAATGCGACATAGAACGCGTTACCACTTAGACCCGCCAATTTTGGCACACGGGTCCCACCTAAATAATTGACCAAAGATAGGAAAAAATTCTGGTTTTACCTAGAATTTCAAACCATTTCTAACACTCCAAACCAATGGTTGCAAGTTTGCACTCTCATAGATTTGGGGCTTTTCGCTTTACAAGGGAAATGGAGAGAGAAGCTCAACATAGTTGTGGAGGATGGCAACCAATGGTTCGTAGACATGGAGGCAGGGGTGTAAAACAGAAGGGAGGAAGCAACTATTCACTCTATTTTTGTGGATAATATACCAGAATCCATGAGCTCAAGAGGGTTGTATAAGATATTCTCCAACTATGGTGTAGTTACGGATACATTTATCCCACACAAGCAAAAAAAGCTAACGCGATCTTGCTTTGGCTTTGTCAGGTATAACTGCTTTGTAGCAGTGGATATGGTGGTTCAAAAAGCAAATGGGCTTTGGTGTAGAGACTATGCATTAAGTGATGCCAAGCCCAGAATAGTCCATGTGCCACTGATTAGGATGAAATTGGAGGCCAAAAACAATTACAATGCTGGATGTAAGGGAATCAAATCATTTGCTGAGGTAGTGAGAGGCAAGCAGAACCATTAAGGTACATGAGACAGGTAATGGCTGGCTCTATGAAAGTGCAGTAGTGAGACTTAAAGCATTAGCTTCCATGGATGATTTAGCATATGATAGGATGGCAGGTAATGACGAGCTGGCTGGCATGTGTTTGCTGATCTGTTGTTGCTTACTGCAGGGGGTGCTTAACATATGATAGGATGGGTTTTTTTAGTGTCAACCTAGTTGGGATGATCTAACCCATTGTGATGCTTGGTGTACCTTCCTCTCTTTATTGATGTTTTGATGTTTTTGTGTGTACACCTGGTACCTTTCATTGTCATCGTCATCAATAAAGTTTCTTTTTTGCTGATTAAAAAAAAAATGGTTGCAAGTTTGCAAATAATAACATTTTTGACACTACGAACCAAATATTAAGCTTACAAGCTATCAACGAAGAAAAAAAAAAAAAGAAAAAAAAAAGTCTAAATTGACGCTTTTAAATAATAATAATAATAATAATAATAATAATAATAATGGAGGGGTAGACTGGAGGGAGTTGTGTACCATCTAAGTTTTATTGTGTGAATTCGCATACATATGATGGAAAAAAGTTCATAAAAATTATCTGGCCCGTGTATAAGTTTTTTTAAGGTACAATTTTCCATCTAAATCATAACAAGTGGGAATAAATTAACTTGTATTTTAGGAGTGATTGAATGACCACTCTACTGGTATCTCAAACAAACCACTGCAAATCTAACTAGTTTGCTTTCAGTTTGTGAGAAAAAGTGTACCCCTAAGACCATTTCCAACGCTTCATCAAACTTGGCATCAGATTTAAATTTTGGTGAAAAAGCCACTTTTTGGTGCTCTAATGGTTTCAACAAATTGGTATCACAATGAGAATTCAACAAAAAATTCATCAAAGTGAGAACGGGGTACAGATTTCACTACTTTACTGTGTGTGACCGTTGGAGGAGAACAACCGATCAACCAATCGGTTGACCGGCCGGTTGACCAGCCGGTTGACCGGTTCATCAATTCTGCCATGGTTTTGTTCGACAGGTGCGAACTGGTTTGAACTAGTTTATTTTGAGATAGGTTATTTTGTGGATTATGAATAATTTGAAGGGTGATATAAATTTAAATTCCCATGAAAATATAATTGAAAATGTTACATCTCATATACATATTTCAGAACTAGTCGTTCCAATAATTTACCGTTGGATGGACAGAGCATTTTGAAAATTTACCGTTGTTGATGTGCTCTATAAAATATATCTGTTTCCTAATATCAAGTTGTGAATTTCAATTAGGTTGACAGAGTATTTCATTTTTAGAATAGCATTACATTATATGCTGTGAATTTTGTTTGTTCTGTGTTATTAGAAATTTTTTTCTTAGTGCACTTTAATTTATATTATCTGATTATATTATCTGATTCTAAGGTTGAGTGTATATCATTCTAATATTTTTCAGTAAGTTAGATATTGTATCTACTGAATTTGTTTCAAACTATGGAAGATTTTGAAATGTTTGAAAAATCACAAATGTTGGAGCACAACACTGATATTAATTTTATGTCGGAAACTTCACGAGAGCAGAACACGCAGAACACTGATAGTCATTTTATTTCAGAAACTTCTCGTGTTTCTCGTGGTAAAGCGTTCACAATTATAGAAGATGAAACTTTATGTAGATCTTGGTTAGCAGTGTCTCAAGATCCCATTACTGGTAATAGTCAGACTATGGCTATATTTTGGAAACGAGTACTTGTTTATTTTAATTCACAATTGAGCGGTGAATCAAATCGAAACCGTATTTCTTTGTCTCACTGTTGGCCTGGCATGCAAAAGGCAATTAATAAATTCTGTGATTTTCTTAAACAAATTCAACTGAGGCAACAAAGTGGAACAACTGAGGTAGACATGGTAAAATTTATTTGTATTATTAAATACCCAATTTCTTTTCTAAATGTGTACTTGTTATTGAAATTTTTGTAATTTTTTTTGTAGGTTGCTGAAGCGAAGTGGATGTATCATGCAATACAGAAAAAACACTTCACATTTGATACATGTTGGGATATTTTGCGCCGCCGAAGTTGTAAGTGGGATGAATTTCGATCACAACCCAAAAGAAGCATGCAACATGCTGATCCATGTTCGAATCCACCAACACATTCAAGTCATTGTGTGAGCCAGGCATTCCAAAAAATGCATGCCAAATCCATAAGTCATAAGATGCTACTGCTTCAAGAATAATGGTTGGTTTTTTTTGATGGCCTACGTATTGACCTTGCCATGCCTTTGGACAATTTTTCCACTCCCAATGCATGCAATCTAAACTTCCTAACATACCCGGAAACCCCCGAACCTCCCCAATAACAAGTAATCTAGCAATATCAGTTACTGTTGGAGATCTCAGATATTCTGGTCCAAAGATTTCAATCACTGAATTACAAAATTGTTGCAAACTTTGAATTGTAGTGCTTTCCCCGATACGTATGTAATCATCAACTGCATATGCTGTGACACCATATGACAATATTCTCATCGCTGAAGTCATTTTTTGTAGGGGAGATAATCCAACTACATGAGCTGCATCTTGTTTTTGAACAAAATATGAATTATGTGCTTGGATTGCATTCAAAATTCGCAAATACAAAGGACGACGCATTCGAAAACGTCTCCGAAATATTGTAGGTGAATACACTGGATTTGCAACAAAATAATCTGCAAACAATCTCTCATGACCCTGCCTTCTATCTCTATGTATATACTTATGGCCTACAACAGAACCACCTATTTTCTTCGAGCTATCACTTGACTTAAGAATCTAAAGCATACTAGCATTATTCTTCTCATAAGCCCCTAAAAGTGTGACCATATATTCATCATCAGACTCATCTTCAGAGGAGGAGGAACAAAAAGAAGATGAAAATGAAGTCAACATCATGGACTTGAAGGTATTCATTATGCTCTGTTTTGTTTCAGCTATGATCGTATCAGTTGTCTGGAGTTGTCTGGCATATGGATAATGTGTTTATATGAGATTTTAGAAGCAAATCATTGTTGGAGGTAAACCAAAACGAAATATATGCAATGGAGGGAAAAAGAAATTGGAAAAGAATTGGGAACAGAAAGGGAGGGAAACCAAAAAAAAATAAAAATAAAAATAAAAATGGCCTTACCGGTCGACCCTCCCCCTCTTAATGCTCACCGTTGGAGGAAGCCATATCAAATTGAGAAAATTGACTTTTTTTTACTCAAATTTGATGAAAAATTTGGTTCACCGTTGGAGATGCTCTAACAACAAAATCATTTAAATTAAAAAACATATTATATTGTTAATATTTTTTATGCAGTATTGTTTAATCTCATTAAAAAATTAAAGGACTCCATCATATACACTAATGTTGCATACATAAAAAAATAGAAGGTAAATTACAAATACACTCCTTGAAGTTTACTTAAAATAAATATAAATCATTCATGTAATTTTGGAAATTACATCACATCTTTGAAATTTATAATTTCATAACAAATGGCTCCTTATATCAATAAATCACAAGTTAATTAATAATTTTAATGACATCACAAATTTATTTCAATTAATAATTTAAGTAATTTTATTAGTGTATAGTATAATAGTTAGAAATTTTATTTTTTCAGTTAATTTGGTTAAAGAAAAAAATTTAACAAAGAGATATTTATAATTTTTTAAATCACAAGGGACAATCTGTATTTTAAATAAATTTCAGGAGATGAATTTGTAATTAATCTAAAAATAAATGAATGATTTCTTATTTTATTATTATTATTATTTAAAATAAAAAGTTAATCGAGGGGTGGATTTGGGTCTTTGGCACAAACCACGGCTCTCACTCAAACAATATGAACCATTCATGCGTGTATATTATTGTAGACACCCTATTTTTGACCGACCTTAAGACTCAGACGTCATCGATTGAGCGCTCGGTGATTGCGCATGTTGTGCTCGTTCTGAGGTTACGGAGTCTTGGCTAAGAGCCTTGCCTCCGGACTTCGGGACCCTTTTGTGCCTTACCTCGGTTTGCGAACCAGTTCTTATTTTCTCTTCCTGAAGGGAGGGACAGGTCTCGTAGGCCATCTCTTAGTGGCCATAGGCTATTTTTCGTGGTTGTAGACCATTGTTCCCGTTTGGAGACCAGTTTTCAATTTTCAGAGTCGTCGGCCGTGCGCCTCAGTTCGGGACCACTTAACTTTCTCCGTTTGCTTCGGTTTTTTGCACACACCTTGTTTCTTCTCTCTAGAGGGACACTGTGGCCCGGGAGACCACTTTCGTGGTCGCACGCCACTTTCGATGCTTAACAGTCAGTTTTCGGGGCCTCCGGCCGCGCGTTTAGGCCCCCGAACCCTCGTTTTGCATCCGTCTTGGTTCATTTTTGGCATGGACCCTATTCTCATTGTTTGGAAGGTGGTATAAGGGTAGGAGACCACCTTTTCTTCTTGAAGACCACTTTTCCTCGCCGGTCGGTCTTTCTTGTCAGGTAGCTGGTCTTCTTGACTTTTTAGCCACAATTACTGGTCTCCCAACATACCACTGGCTTGCTTTTAGTGTAGAGACCACCAATTACCCCTGGAGACCAGTTGTTCCCTTTGGAGACCATTTTCTCTCTCCTCCAGCCAGTTTTCTTGTCGGGAAACTGGTTTCCTTGATCTTTGGGACACATTTACTGGTCTCCCATCATACCACTAGCTTGCATTCAATTGGGAGACCACCAAATGGGCTGGCCGACCACCTTTCTTTGAGTTGACCCTTTTGACCTGGCTGGCCGACCACCTTTTTTGGTTGGCCGAACACTTGAACGGGTTGGCCGACCATTTGAATTGGTCGGCCTACTCCCCCCTGTCTTGTCTCTGTGAGTTGTTGCCAGCTGGAAGGCACAGAATTGATCCTCCATACACGTGTATGGAGGATCTTCAAGCTTGGTTTTAAGCATCTAGGAGAACCTTTGAACCTCTTTGGCTATAAAGGAGGGCCTCTCCCTCATTAGCAAAGGTTCAAAAATTGTTAAGAGGCATACACCATATCTCTCTTTGTATCTCTCTACTTTGTGCCCTAAAGTGTGAAGTTCTTGCCCCTTTTGCATACAATTCCATAGCCTAACCCTTCCACCATTGCTTTGAGGTTCTTGGAGGTTGTTTTTAGAGGCTAAGGGGTTGCATATTTGGTCCAGAAGCTGCTGGAGTTCTTGGCTACAAGGGTAACACACTTATTCCCTCTTTTGGTCCTTATTTTGCTTCATCTTTTAGCCTTACTTGAAAGCATATTTGGGCTTTGTCATAAACTGAAAAAAGTTTTATTTTGAGATCCTTTACATGTTTGTTTAAGGTCATTTTTCTGTTGGGAGTCGTCTACCCCCTTGCATGCTTGTTTTCACCTTATTTTGAGCCATGCATCTAGGCCTTTGTATTGAGCTTTGTTTGGCCTTCTAGCCACTGAAATCCAGTGGATTTTCAGTGGCTAGCATACTGTTTTGAGAGCCAAAATCAGAGAGGGGTGACCCTCTCTCTCCTTGTCTTGTTTGTTGGCATTTTTTTGGCCTTACAAAGGGGCCTATATTTGTACACTTCTTGAGCATGTTTCAGGCCATTTTTGGTAGGTTTTAAGACCTGCATAGGCTCTGTCCAGAGCCCATTTCGCCATATTAGGTGTCTATCTTGCATGTGTAGAACAACCCTCTTTATAGCATATCAAAGGAGCATATGTTTGTATCATTTAGAGGCCTATTTCAGGCACTTTTTGGTGACTTTTGGGTTTGGTCCCCTTGTGCTTGCCTTTTGCATGTGTAGAGCAATCCCTTTCATGGCTCATCAAAAGAGCCTATCATTCTTGCATGCATAGACCATGTTTCAGTGGTTTTTGGGCTTTATTTGGCATGTCATTCCTCTGACTTTTACTGGTTTGGTGGACTCTTGATTGCCTCACATGCTTGTAGTGCAAATCCTCTTTACTAGCTTACATCGCATGCTATTTTGGCCCTTGATTCTAGCACTTTTTGGCCATGCTTTAAACTGATTTTGTGCATGTTTTGGACTGCCTTAGCTCTGTTTTTATGCCTCATGGTCGAATGATGCTTGCTATGCATGGTTGTAGTTCAATACCCTTGCCAAGCTTTGAGTTTTGGAGCCTATTGCATACTTGTGTTGAGGTGTTTCCATGATGTGGGGCCATTACGCATCATATTTTAGAGCTTATATGTATGCCATATTCCCATGTTTTCTACTCTTTAAATGCGTTTGAGAGTTGTGCATAAATGCCTCGTTTTTGGACCATTGCATGAGCTTCATTTCCATGCCTTTCGAGCCATCATTTTAGGCCACATTCCCACTGTCTTGGACCTACCTAGGGTCTGTTTGGGGCTGGTTTTTCTATTTGTGCATTGCTTTGTGTACCTCTAGTGTAATGCGCTTCACCAGTTTCGGTATTCGGGCCATCTAGCATGCATTGTGTGAAGTGTTTGCATGATTCGAGACCATCTTGCATCATATTTCAGAGCTGGAAAATGTATGATTGCATGCCATATTTCATCCTTGCCATGCCTTAGTAGAGTTGCACTTTGTACCTTAGGCTCGGTCCCTGGCATTGTGTATGTGTGCATGTGTGTTGTTGCTTCATTTTCATCAAGTATGGACACTGATTTGGGTGTGGCTGAGGCCCATTCATTTTAGTTTAAGTCCATCTTGCATTATGTATGCCATGTCCATGTTGTCGCATGCTTGATCGTCGCATTGTGTATGCCTTGATTATGCCTTTGTGTATGTCCATCGTCATATGTGCATTGTGTATGCCATACAGCGTCATGTGCATTGAGTATGGCATTTGTAGTTCATAGCATTGCGTATGCTAGTTGCACCTTTGCATGTCTTTCCTTGCATGTTTGCATGTTTTATTTGCATTTCGTTTAGGATTGCATGCTAGTTTTTGCATTGTGTTTGCATGCCATGCCATTCCATGTATATTGCATTGTGTTTGGAATAGGGTTTAGTCCAAACACGAGAAACGAGGGACGTTTCATACTCCAAGTGACGAAACGTGCCTCGATTCTCGGTCGCCGACACTCCGAATTACCCATGATGGAGTTTAGGCCTTATTGTGTTCATTTGTGCATTCATTTTACATCAAGTCGTGCAATCCGACTCCTCGGCCATCATGTATCGGGATGCGTGGTTGATGGCACGAGGATCGAAGACTACACTCCCTGGCGCTTGTGCAATGATGGGGAGAGTGGTCATGCACACATTTGTTGAAAATACCTTGTTATGCCTCTCTCTTGCTTTGTGTTGCAGAAAACCAGGATTCAGGGGCAGAAAGTGGTCGGCTGACCAGGTTTTCTGGCAGGCCGACCACCTTTTTTGGTCTCCACCACAAAGGGTGGTCGGCAGTGGTCTCCCATGTCATTGGCTGGTCGGCAGCCCTCCCACAACTTCCCAGAGTGGAGTTTCAGTCTCTTGGAGCTTCGTGCAAGTTTCTGAAATAAATTGCACATAAAGGCGAGACGAGGCATCGCGATGGATTTCCCG